CTCTAAATGTCAATCTCAAATGTTGGGCCCCTCTTCCAGTGGTGGGATTCAAAAAAAATTTACTACCAGTTCTGTGGGCGTGGCTTGGTGGGCATGGCAGGGGAAGGGTACTACAAAATCCCCATTCCCTCCCCACCCCACTAACCTGCTTTCCAGCTCCATTCTCCTGTTCAGGGCAACAAAACAAGACCCAGCGAATCAGCTAGGACTCCAGAGAATAGATGGGGGCAGGGCCAGTCAGAGGTGGGATTTGCTGATTCTCCGAACTACTCAAAATGTCTGCTACCGGTTCTCCAGGACCTATCAGAACCTGCTGGATACCACCTCTGTTGCGAGCCCAATCGGATGCCTTCCCCATCCCCTAATGCAGAAAGCGATCCTGCTCTTCTCTGACATGGCTCCCTCTCTTCCTCCCCAGGTGCCGCTGCCCTCTCTGGGGCCGTCACCCACACGGTCTCCACTGCCGTCATCGTCTTTGAGCTGACCGGCCAGATCTCCCACATCCTGCCGGTTATGATTGCGGTGATCCTGGCTAACGCCGTGGCCCAGAGTTTGCAGCCTTCCCTCTACGACAGCATCATCCGGATCAAGAAACTGCCGTACCTGCCAGAGCTGGGTTGGGGACATCAGGAGTAAGTGTGCACAGATGTGGGCGAGACCAGGGGCGGGCTTCAAAAATTTTAGCAATGGGTTCTCTGCCCGGTTGCTGGGTGGGTATGGCCATGGTGGGTATGGCCGTGTCGGCCTCCTGCACCACATTGGGGAGGCATTTTTGCCCTCCCTGGGCTCTGGAGACTTTCCTTGAGCCTCCAGGAGGGTGAAAACAGTTTTCCCCGGCTCCGGAGGCTCTCTGGAAGCCAGAAATGAGCCCATTTCCAGCCTTCTCGAACTTCCGGGACACCCATTTTTTACCCTCCATGAGCCTCCATGCGTGCCCTGCACTTACCTGCATCCAAAACGGGCCCTGTGGGGACTCCTGGGAGGGGAGGGGCAGGGTGGATAGGGCCATCCAGGAGTGGGATTTGGGGGTTCTCCGAACTCACAGACTCTTAGCTAGGGGCTCTCCCAAACCCCTGCGAACCCCTAGCAAACCATCCCTGGGCGAGACCCGTACTTTGGGTTGTGATGCTGTGGGGAGTTGGGTGAATAGCGCTCTGAATAATGTGTATGCTAGCCAGAGCTGATGAAAGCTACAATTCAAAAAAGAGTCAGAATACAGAATCCTCGTGTTATGAATGTAATGGAGCCTGCCCATTCCATTCGTAACCTGAGGATTCGTGGGAGTGAATCTTGTACCTTGAAGGGGATCACTCCCTTCTTTTGCCCAAGCATTTGCTAATCGAATGTGAGGCTTGTTAAGTGTACATGAGGTATTTCAGGGTGAGGAAGGCCATGGGGGGCCTAGCAATGGAACACCTAAGACCACCCAAGTCCTCCCCAACCCACTGAAATACCTCATGCTCCCCACAATTGCTTCCCCCCCCTCAACCTGCCACGCCGAATCACTTACCTTGTGAAGATCTAGGAAGCAGTCTCCTCTCCAGGCTCTCAGCTGCGTGCGCCCCTCCAATGCTCCTGTTCGGGCCTCCGCGGGCCTCCCCCGGTCTGTTGCAGGCCGAAATGGAACTTCCAGAGGCCCAGATCTGACCTACAATGCAACCTCTGGCAACCTTCTGACAAGCAAACTCAATGGGGAAGCCAGATTCACTTAGCAACTTAATGTTACCAATTTAACAAGAGCAGTGACAAGGTCATTAAATGGGGGAAAACTCACTTATCAACTGTCTCACTTAACAACAGAAATGCTGGGCTCAGTTGTGGTCATAAGTCGAGGACTACCTGTAATTTAACACGTGGAGAGTAGGTTTTAATCAATGATCAAGTTAATCGTGTAAATCCAGACAGCTTGTTTGCATTTTTCAGGAAGTACAACGTACGTGTGGAGGACATCATGGTGCGTGATGTGCGTTATATCACCCTGAACTGTAGGTACCGGGATCTTCAGGATGCGTTACACAGCACCAAGATGAAGAGCCTAGCTCTGGTGGAATCAGCCGGTAAGAGAAAAGGATGGGCAAGCAGGTGGGAAAGTGGGAGCAGCTCAGGAGTTTTAGAACTTGCCTTTTGCAAGCAAGAATACTAAATACCCCCAATCTACTTTTTACAACCAACAATAGCACTTAGACTTATATACCACTCCATAGTGCTTTACAGCCATGACCCCCAATTTTTTGGGCACCAGGGATCAGTTCCAAGGAGAGAGGTTTGGTTCTGAGGTCCCTGAACACGACAAACCCTCTGTAGTTACTATAAATCAATGATTCCTTTATTAGGAGCGCCAGCAGCCCCTCCAAAATGTTTCTCTCTCACCACAGGTTAACCAATCTGTCCAGCAGGGAGGTGAATAGTTGTCTGCCACATTTATTCATCTCCACCCCCTGCCTTTTATCCCCAGAGCTAGGGTGGGGCTTCGGTAGCAGCGGTGACTCTTCCATCCCAAGGATCAGCCCACGGATTTCCACTGCTCTCCTCTCCTCTGATTTCTGTCTATCCACACGTCAGGCACTGGACCCCGTTGTTCCTCCTCTTCCTCATCAGCCACCTCTGGACCTGGGGGCTGTTGACTCTCCATCTGAGGGCTGGCGGACGGCCCAGGCTCCGTCTCTGTCTCTCTCTGTCTCTCTGTGCCAACTCCATTCCCTCTCCCCCCTCGGAGCTCTCAGGTTGCCTTGATGCTGACCCTGACTCCCACGCTGCTTCCTCATCTCCGCCAGCTCCTGGACGGGCGGGCGGCTGACAGGCCACAACAAAGCGGTGGGCGTGCATGAGAAGCTCTATTTGCGCAAGAGACACAGACATAGGTGCAAAACCATCCCCTTCCCCAGGGGTGGGATTCTAACGGTTCGGACCAGTTCTATAGAAGCGGTTCTTATGATTCCGCACAGTTCGGAGAACTGGCAAATCGCGCCCCTGGCTGGTCCCGCCCCTCTCCACCCGCCCCCTTTTTTCCCTGCCTAGTCAGTCCTTAGCGCGCATGCCCAACATCGCTGACTGCGTTCTCCCCTGCCCAGTCACTCCTTAAGGTATTTCTTTTTTTACCCTCCTGACAATCAGCTGTTCCTATGATCAGCTGTGCTGAGATCCCCTCCCTGTCTTACTGCTTCGCCCAGGAGGCTTCCCTGAGGTCCCCCGCACTCCATTTTTTGCCTTCCTGGGCCCTAGGGAAGCTTCCTGAGAGCAAAAACACCCCCCAGAAGGCCCCCAAAATGGGTTGGGCGGTTGCCACAAAAAAGAGAGCCACGCCCACCCAGTCAAATGGCCACACCCACCTAGCCACACCCACAGAACCGGTTGTTAAAAAATTTGAGTCTGGGAATCGATCCACACTTCTTATCAAGGTTGAGAAACATCGCATAAGCACACCTGGTTTTCTTCTTTTTTTTTAACGGCTTCTGGTGTTGCGTCTCCTGAAGCATCGGCGCCTAAACATCGGCGCATGTGTTACAGCCAAGTACGTTTTCCACGGTGACAAATATAGATTCTCCCTGCTTGTCCCAATGTCTCTTCCAAAGTTGCTGATGCAATGGCTATTTTCCTAAATGCCTTTATCGACGGGTGAGTCAATCGAGCCGCTACTGACATCACTGAGCCCAAATTATAACAACATCAAAAGGCTGCACCTTGTCGCTGAATCAGATGCAAAATTAGAGAGGGGGAAACGATCCGTTCAAATCATAATTGCCAATGTGATATTTTTGGAATTCTTCTAAGATGAAGCTTGATTTGTGGGGGGGTTTATATATTATATAGCAGAGGTGGGTATTCAGCAGGTTCTGACCAGTTTTGGAGAACCGGTAGTGGAAATTTTGAGTAGTCCGGAGAACCGGCAAAGCGCTTCTGACTGGAGATTTTACAGTATCCTTCCCCTGCCACATCCACCAAGGCACACCCACAGAACTGGTAGTAAATAAATTTGAATCCCACCCCTGTTATATAGCCAGAAAGACATCATGGCAACAAAGATAGTCTAGAGTAAGGGGTCTCCAACCTTGGCAACTTTTAAGACTTGTGGACTTCAACTCCCACACTTCCTCAGCCAGCAAAGCAAGAACCAGTAGTGGAAATTTTGAGTAGTTGGGAGAACCAGCAAATCCCAACTCTGACTGGCCCTGCCAACCCCATCTATTCTGGGCCTCCTGAGTCCCAGTTGATCGGCTGGGTCTTCTTTGGTTGCCCCGCACAGGAGAACGGAGCTGGAAAGCAGGTTAGTGGGGGTGGGGAGCAGAGGTGGCATTCAGCAGATTCTGACCAGTTCTGGAGAACCAGTAGCGGAAATTTTGAGTAGTTCAGAGAACCAGAAAATACCACCTTTGACTGGAGATTTTACAGTATCTTTCCCCTGCCACGCCCACCTGTCTCCTTCTGAGACAGTAAGTCTGGGCATACTGCCAAGAATGTAAGAAGGGTAGAGAAAAACAAAAGGAGGTTTTTTTTCCCAACAACCGGTTCTCTGAACTGCTTAGAAAGTTAACAACCAGTTCTAGAGAAGAGGTGAGAACCTGTAAAATCCCACCCCTGTTTAAGTCCCTTTTTTTTTCCAGTGCCATTGTAACTTTGAACGCTCACTGGATGAGCTGGTGTAAGTTGAGGACTGCCTGAGTATTTTGAGCAACGGCTTGTAGAGAGCTACCATAGAAAAGGATTGTTTCCCGTTGAGGTGCAACCGACAGGCCCCTGGAGGGATTCAGAATGCTGGCTTCCCTAAGCTCTTGGCCTGATCCAGGTTGTAGACCTCAGTTTGAATGTTTTTATTCACTTCCCCTGTTCTTCCCATCATGCTTTCACTTCCTGCACTGGCATAACGGAGGTTCTTTCAGCTGGGTTTCAAACTGCACCTGCTCCTCTCTTACAAAAAAAAAAAAAACAAGACCCAAAACCCCAACAATTGCAGTCCTGTGCTGTATTAGTCATCCAAATTAGTAGTTTTGCCATGTTTTGCTTAGTCTGCATCTCACAGGAAGAGCGGAAAGGGGAAGGAAGGGGCCCTTAGCTTCTCTCCCCAGGGTGGCTACAATATATATTTTTTTAATTTTTTAAAAGCAAAGGCAGTAAGAAAAGTGGGATCTCCGGAGCAGCAAATTCTGCATGGAAAACATCCAATGTGTGTTCCACCATCTGGAAGGGTGCTGGATCAGAGAAGCTGAGAGGATTGAATTCTATACACAGTAATCCCGGCTGGGGAATTCTGGGTGTTGAAGTCCTCACAGCTTAAAGGTGTTGTTGAGGTTGAGAAACACTGCTATAAAGTCTCCAATAACCCATGGTGTGCCTGAACTCAAATACAGTTCTTTTCTTTCTTTCTTTCTTTCTTTCTTTCTTTCTTTCTTTCTTTCTTTCTTTCTTTCTTTCTTTCTTTCTTTTTCTTTCTTCCCTCCCTCCCTCTTCCTTCCTTTCCTCTTCCCTCTCTACCTCTCCTTTCTTTCTTTCTCTCCTTCCTTCCTTTTTTCCTCATTTATCCCTTCTCTTCCTCCCTCCTCCCTCCCTTCCTTCCTCATTTATTTCCTTTCCTTCCTCATTTATCTCCCTCCCCCCTTTCCTTCCTTCCTTCCTTCCTTCCTTCCTTCTTTCCTTCCTTCCTTCCTTCCTCATTTATCTATTTCCTTCTCTTCCTACCTCCTTCCTTCTTTCCTACCTCCTCCCTTCTCTCTCACCTCCCTTCCTTTCTCCTTCATTTATCTCCTTCCTTCCTTCCTTCCTTCCTTCCCCTGCTTCCCACCCTCCCTTCCTCCCTCATTTATCTCCTTTCTTTTTTCTTCCTTCCTTCCTCTCTCTCCCCCTCCCCTTTCTCCCTCCCTTTCTCCCTCGTTTCCTTATTTCCTCATTTATCTATTTCCTTTTGTTCCTCCCTCCCTCCTTCTTTTCTCCCTCCCTTTCTTCCTTCTTCCTTTATTTCCCTTTTTCCTTCCTTCCACTCCCTCCCTCGCCTTTCTCCCCCACCTCCCTCCTTCCCTTATTTCCTCATTATCTATTTCCTTCTCTTCCTCCCTCCTTCCTCCCTCCTTTCTTCCCCCTTCATCCTTTCTTCCCTCCCTCCTTCTTTCTCTTCCTTCTCCCTTCTTTTCTTCCTTCCTTCCTTCCCCTCCCACCCTCCCTCCCTCATTTTTCTCCTTTATTTTTTCTTCTTTCCCCTCCCCCTCCCCTTTCCTTCCTTTCCCTGCCTCCCCTCCCCCCTTTCTCCTCTCCTTTCTCCCTCCTTCCTTCCTTCCTTCCTTGGTTAAAAATGCCCGTCTTCTTTATGCATGGTCAAGACTCTGTTTTTAGTTCCCAGGGCTGCAGGACTCTAAAATGTAGGGAATGTGTTGCCTCCATAAATTTATTTTCACGCTTGCTTTAGGAAGCTGCAATCTCCACTGAACAACTCTATGGAGCAGATGTTTTTTTAAATAACTTCTAGAGTTTGTTTGTTTTTTAAGATTCTCCCCAGATCTCCCTGAGCAAGCCAGTGGGGGAGGTAAGAAGGGGACCTTGCGGGAGAGTCCCAATCAGTTTTCCACCTGAGTGAACACTTTGATCTTGGCTAATGCAGAAGTCTAAAAAAAAAAAGAAAGATCAAAGAGAAATAAATGCTGATTTTGCTGGTGGTATCTAAGAAGCAGAAGCGGAGATAAACAGTCAAAAAAGTCTGCACTTGTGACCTGCAGTGCTTGTGGCGTGTGTGTTCCCCTGCCTGGAAACACCCTGAGATACATTTGCAACAAATACAATCTTTGATGAAACATTCAAAGAGCTTCAGCAGCACACAGGCATTCCTCAACTGGAGAAAGAGGACAAGGGTTCATCATTTCAAAGAATAGGGAATGGAACGGAACGGAACAGAACAGGGAATGGAATGGAATGGAATAGAATAGGGAATGGAATGGAATGGAATGGAATGGAATAGAATAGGGAATGGAATGGAATGGAATGGAATGGAATGAAATAGAATAGGGAATGGAATGGAATGGAATAGAATAGAATAGAATAGAATAGAATAGGGAATGGAATGGAATGGAATGGAATGGAATAGAATAGAATAGAATAGAATAGAATAGAATAGAATAGAATAGA